AGATGAAAGTTATGGCTGCTCTACAAGGACCACTCACAGTCCTCATGATCACAAATTTTGAACTCCGGGCAAATTTTCCACGCGACTCGGCACAGGAGATCCCTACAGACTCCTGCTGGTCCTATGTTTTGTTTGCCTCACGAGGCCTTACAAGTTTTGCCATCGCTCAGGGTATGCAATCAGTGCCTTTTTAGCATCCTTGCGCTTGGCAAATTAACATTTTTCAAGGTCATCTCTGGGGTTAGTTAAACGCTGCATGCCATGTATGGCGATGCCCCAGTATGTTTGCCCGCAATAGTACTTGCAGTGGCAGTTACTGCTGAATACTGGAGCTCCCCTATGTTTAGGATCTCAGCTCCGCTACCACGTTAAAATCAGTTGTTACTTTGACTACAAGTGCAAGTGCTGTAGTGTTCTCACAAACATAAACCAATGTAGTCTGCAGCTGCCAGCCTTTTCACTAATGCAGTCGTAGTAAGCTCAAGGCCGCAAGGCATGCAGTAGTGTACATGCATGCAACGCAAGTGCAGGAAGTGAAGCATGTAGTTTGACAGTCCCTTGTTTTCCTGTCTCACTTCATCGTCATGGTGTGTCCCACAACTGGGAAAGGACCCCCCCCCCCCACAACGGGAAACCCAGAGGAAATCCAGGAATCATCTATAATTCAGCCTACAATGAACACTTATGCCCCTGCAACATACCACAGACTTCCAAACGCATGATGGGCATACCACAGACTTCCAAACGCATGATGGGTTCCCAAAAAGGGTGCAACACCATAATACCAGGGCTTACTAGAGCTACCAGGGCTAGTGTTCGAGGGGATCGGTTAGAACGAAGCGGCTCAGGGTACCCTTTATCCTTTGCCACTTCTTTTTTGTCCATGGTGTAACGGGGTTCCTTTTATTTTCCTTTTTGCATGAATTAAGCATCACTTGCTCGCCATCTTACATTGAGTTTTCTTTTGGTGGAGTGATGCTTGCTCTGTTCACCCAGGGCAATGGCATCGGCTCTGCAGGACAGAGCCTCACGCAGTTTGCGTAATGCCAAGATCCTCGGCCCTAAATAAGGGGAGTCCGGGATCCCCAACAGCAACCGGAACCCTTCGGGCACCTTAGCTCGGAGGAATCCTTCGCAATCGTTTCGAAACAGCAGCCGCAGCAACTGCTCCATGGAACCTTGAAACCTTCCGGGATGCTGCTTCTGGGTGTTGGGAAAGGGGTGATTTTCCTTTAATCCCCCTTTAAGACCACCTCAAGAAAGGGAAAGCCAAAAAGACATGCCTTGCGTGATTTGTAGTGACTGGCTCCTTCTGTTTGCCCTGTAGAACCATCCAAGATGGGGCTACCTCTCAGTTTTCTCTGCTATTTGGATAGCGAAGGCGTGTTGGCTGCAAGGTGCATGCGAGCAAGTGCATCGAAAGTTTTTGTCGGGAATCCCCGACCACACCGCCGCAGTCACGTTTCAGAGCAGCATGGACCCTTCTGCAGTGCAGTCTTTTCAGGCGGTCAGACAGCGGCTGAGACAGGCGAATTGGCAGCACAGGCAGGGGCAAAAGCGAGGACCCCACACCGGCCTATCACACCGCAAGAGGCTTCGTTTCACGCAGTGCTCTCATACGGTCGGGACGCCTTTACTCTGACGGATAAGCGACTATCACAGATCGACGGGTTTTTCTTCCGGTTCCTTAGAAGAATCCTGGCATCCAAGCGTCGTACTACTCTAGAGTCCCCAACCAAGAGGTTTACCAAACCGCAGGCAAGCCCAAACTACCCTCAGGTTCACGAGGTCTTCTCCCTACCAATCGAGAATCCCATCCATAATGTTGTCTTTGCCTCTGCCTATAAGGATCGTATCTCACAAACAGGTAAAAGAAGAGGTCGCGGCACACCGTACTGGCTTCCTACTACTACCAAGAGATACTTTACGGCGCTGTGGAACAAAGACCACACCGCCAAAAACCCAAACACGCAGTATATGTCCATTTCCCGGGCCAGGAGGCAGTGCGCAGCAGTCGTGCGCAGGGCTTCCGTAAAAAAAAGGATAGCGACCTCGCAAAAGGTTTTGGTGTGTGACCGATCTCACCCCATGAAAAATCCTGAAAATAGGGAGCCTGGCGTAATTTTGGGTTGGTGACCACAGTTGTGATTCATTCTTAGCGGGCTGGCGAGGTGTGGCATTGGACCCCTGAGTAATAGTTAGGGAGTCGTCCGCTTGGGGGTTTCACACGTTGGTCCCCTGCACGGTAGGTCTTTGGCATTCCTTGAGAAACACTGACTTTTTCATCAGAGGTCATCAGGAGTCTGATGAACAACCTATTGCTTGTTGCACCTGGATAACAGGGTACTGCCAGGGGATTGTCCGTTGAGCGTTCCGGCATGTAGCCATTGGCTTCAGAGAAGGTTGACACCATCGGTGCAAGTCAAGCAACGCTTCAGCACCGTTGATGGTGGATATTCTGCAAGAAAAAATACTTGATCCCAGCTTTCGATGAAAAGCAATGGGCATTTGATGTTTGCAGGATGTGGACATTCAGCCAGCGACCAGAGCAGGGGTAGTTTTCCACTTTCTGCCAAGATGTGGCCTTCGCGCACGAAATCCAGGCGCCGTTAGATTTGGTCTTGGACATGCAATGCTGCCAGCTCCCGCGACTGATGTTGCCCGCGCCTGAGTGGAAGGGGCCCTTCATCGTCAATCTGGAACAAGTGGAAGGGAGGGCAATAAGGGCGCCTATATAAGTAGTGTCCAACATTCTGGCCCTGTGAGCATGATTTGATTTGGTTCGAAGGTACCCGCTCACAGCACCATTCCAATTGTTTGGGCCCTTCTGGCAAGCATTCCGAGTACACCTCGAAAAACAAGCCGAGTTGTTTGGCTGGCGGCAGATCTGTCCGGACCTGAGGCGGTGAGGCATGTCCGTGCCTCGCGAGGCGCGGAGTGCGGCCACGAGGGTGAAAGGGATTTTGATTGGAGCTTGGGCACCCAAATGGAAGCTCATTAGTTTTCTTGGGGTCCCGAATGTTGAATTAGTAGTTCTCAACCTACGCACGCGGACAAAACGCAGGCATCGTCCAAGCATCCAACATGTAGGCTGTTTTTGGGCGCGCAGCAAGCTATCTCCAGCTGCTTAATCATTGCACAAGTTCTCATATCGTACATAATTTGCGATGTGGTTCCACCTCAGTCAAATGCAGGAAGTGCAGTTTCCATGTGGTAGTGTTGTTGTTCAAATGCTAGGCACTTGGCTGCATGGTTTGCCATTTCTTGGGCCTGACAGCCCTGGAACCAGCTGAGAGAACATTTGTTTTGCATTTTGCCCTAGCAGCTGCCACGCATGAATCGGTAGCGACGTAGCTGGAAGCGCAATAGCTGATCTTCAAGGGGGCTCTCAGCTTTTCTGTTTTTGGACGTAGGGGTAAGACGCAGAAAAAAACTAGTGACCTTCTTGGGCTGAAGGTATGAGTTGTGCGAGTGACCAGTGTTTTCGCTTTTTCGCTTGCATCATGGTTTTGCGGGATGTTAGGTGGCTATCAGGAGGATCTTGCTTCTTTTCTGGGGCAGCTGCGATCATTCGCCAAATGCATTCTTGACCCTGGCGTGTCTCAAATTCGGAGCCCGCAAAAGGACGATTTTACAGGGGACCAGTAGTGCACCAATCAAGGGCAGCCAAAGCTTTGCCGGAGCAAGCACACCTAGCCATAATGCAAGTTGAGTTGACGTGAGCAGATAGCTGCTGGCGAAATTCCTATTAGAGAGGGTCTTGGCTGGAATGTCGCAATGGCCGTCTGAGTCCACAAATCAAAGGAGCACATGAGTAAAATTGCCTGTTGGTCAACTTTTTGAGTGACCAGGTAGGTTTCTCGCTTCCAGAGAAAGCCGCATGTTATGCATAGGCGACCAAAGGACATGCCAGAAGATGAAGAGATGGAACGCAGTCAGTATGAACAGATGTCTTGCGAGCAGGACACAGTGAATGCAGGTTGTTGCGGCAAAACAAGCAAGACGCGAACAAAGCGTTTGATTCAGCAAGAGTTTTCTTGAGCTTAACCCGCTCGAGAGGAGAACAACAGTTGAATTTTGAAATTCTGCCTTCCCACCAATGTGGCTAGGGAAATTGACAAAAGGAGGCCCTTGGTTTGGTTGCCACTTTCCTCTTAAAGAGACCTTCTTCCAGGGAAAGTGGGAGGGAGGTTGAAGCGGATGCGTCAAGCAACGTGGTTTCCTGGTGCTTTCCCTGTTAAAGATCACCCCAAGCGGGGTCAAAGAAAGGAGCCGCACCGTGGCGAGAGCGCGTCTCGCCTTCTTGCGCCGAGGGGATGGTGGACGGCTCGCTGGGTGATGGGCAGAGCCGGCCATTTTACGGGTGCCTGTGTGGGATGTTTGTTTGATTGAAGTTGGTGTCCTTTTCAGGTTGGTTTAAAGGGACACCAGAAGGAAAGCCACTGTTTGGAGCAACCCCCAAAGTGGGGTTGGACACCATTCGGGGTAACTTTATGTGTCCTCTCCACTCAAGCTGACCACGTTGGTTTGCCGTTGCTTTGAGGGAGGAAATGAAAAGCACACCCTTTAAAAACAGGGGCTGCTGATGGAGCTTGATGGAACCACAGAAGACAACTGTCGTGGAGGCAAAACCCAACTTCACTACAAACACACACACACACACATGGAGAGGACCACTCAATTTTCTCCCTCTTTCGTGGAAAACATGTTTTTCGTTGCTCAGATGTGCCATGGATTGATGGATGGGTGGTCACGAAAGGATGCCTGAGATGATGTTGCTTGATTTGTTATGAGCCACTGGATATGAGTCTATCCGAAGATGTTTGGGCCACTTGCACAGGGAATCCCCATTTGCGGTGATCAGCTAGCCATGGGTATGGTTCATTTTGGCATCAGAAGCTGTTATGGAGTTTGAGGTGAGGCAATCGAAGCAGTAAGTACTCAAGCGAAGAACTGGCTTTCCGAGCGGCGCAAGCGATCGGCCATCGAATCTGGAACCAGGGACGCCTCGGCGAGGCGGATCCAGGACATCGCCTCAGAGGCTGAGCCGTTGGGGAAGGACCGAGGATGGCTGGCTGACTTTTTGATTGCTACCCCCGAGTTTGCTAGACGTCTTGAGGGCAGGTTGGTATTTTTGATTGTGAACCCATGCAGAATCAGTTGAGGCACTTGAAAGGGGCCTGAAAAGATATAACTGGTGGTTCGCAACCCCAAGAACCACCCAATCAGGTGTAGTGTTCCAGTTTTCGCTTAATCACAAGAATCAGCTAAACCGGGGGTAGGGGGAGGGGGTTTCCTTTAGCCACCTTTGGCTTACTGGGTTCTCGGTTACTTGCTTTCTCAGGCAGGTGTTTAGCCAAGCTGGGTTCCTAAAATCAAGTTTGTTCGAGCAAATTGGTTTCCAAAGCTGCTTTTCGAACTGGCTGCCCACATGGGGGGGGGGGCATGCGTCCAAACCAGCTGTGCTTCAGGATCGGTGTAAACGGAAACTACGACGAAGCGCACCGTTTCTCCCGTTTTGACTCCTTTTCAATTTGGTTTCTGAAACGAATTTCGAGTTGTTCGCAACACTGGTTTTCCATGGCTGGGTTTGTGCGAGAATGGCCAGGCTATTGTAGTTCTTTGTGCACACTTGTTTTTTGAGGGGTTTCCATGACTGCCCCCAATTGGTGGTTTGGATTGGGGGTTTTATCCCTGCTTGTCGTCTAGAATTGATCGGAAGGCGTCCCCAATTCTCCAAAAAACATATTCAAACCACCAACTCAGGTTTGGCTGACCATCGGCCAGCACCCTAGTTGTCATTGACACAAAATGTGAAGGTAAATCACCTATCAAGGTTTAGCTGACCATTGACCAAAAAGCGGCAGATTAGTAAATTGTGCCCATGGAGCAAGGTCCCCGTGTCCCCATGGAGCAAAGCCGTTGGGCTTGCTAATTTTATCAAGTCAGGGGCGCAGTAAGTTAGAGGGATCGCAGCACTAGTGAGTCAACAACATGTGCGCATGTTCGGTCAAAACGGCATTGTGCGCCTCAGAAGGACGACGCAAGCAGGTTTCCGCAGATTCGATGTTTTGTGGGATTGTATAGGTTTTCTACTTGCACGTTTACCATTGCCTTGACCATATTTGAACATCATTTACAGCTCCGGGGAGATCCTGTGGGCGGCCTACCGTGAACGGTAGCGCCGCCGGGCCGCAGGTGCTGCGGTTGCGCCTGGTGCAGTCCCAGCACCGCCAGCTGGAGGCGCGCGAGCGTGCACGGTCGCGGGTTCGGGTGGGGAAATGGGGGTGTCTTTTTGCTTGTTCTGTTTGGTCCTTTAGCATCGAAAACAATGAGTGTTTTCAACATGGGAGTTTGACCCCTCAGATGGTGTCTTGTTTTGCTTTACAATGGGATTCGGACCCCCCTTCCAATGGTTGTTTTCTTTGAGAATCAGCGAAAGATAGGATTCGGAGCCCCCTCACAACGATTAGTGAATGGGTTTCCCATCCATCCTTCAAGTGAGGGGTGGACACTGCGTAGTGTAAGGAAACTGATGGATGTTTCCAAAGATAGGATCTGGACAATACGTAGTCTAAACCAAAACCTGACTCACTTCAGATTGATAAACCTCTGCAGTGGTTGGCCTTTCAGGTGGGGGGGGACCATCCATTTGGGGAAACACCTTGGATTTGTGTGGCCCCCCGTTTGAAGTTGACATAGGCAACGCACCCCTTTGGATCCCGACTTTTCCAGGCAACACCAAAACGGGACTGACCCCCCAAGTTATTTGTGTGATATGGTCGCCAAATCTGCGCTTCCTGTGAATCCGGCAACGGCCTTGGCTCCTGCAGGGCCAGCTAAAGGCGGCAGTGGAGAAGCTTCACCAGACGGAAGACAAGGCAAGCTTCAGCTTGGTGCAGGTTCCTTGCGCTTGGGACCTCGAAACATGGTCTTGTTTTCCCGGTAAGTTCAAAGTTCAGGGCTGACTGCTGCATGCACCTTTCTGCACCATTTGGAGGAGGGTTCCAGCTTGCTTCTGCCCAGTTAGGGCTTGCTCTTCGTGCTCTTCTTGCTCTTCTTTCAGCAAATCGTGATTTGAAAGGTCCCATACAAGGGAGACTGAAGACCATCCGGCCATTTTGGATGCTGGGATCCAAGTCATAGGGCAGAGTGATTTGTTCCGGTGGGATTCCAAGGTTCTGCTATATATTTTCATCAAGCAGACGTTTCAGTCTAGTTTCTACCTGTAATGTGGCATTGATTTTGGCGACGCCAGTCAACTTGTTTGCCTCAGCTGCACAGACATCTCATGGCTCAGCACGTGGCATGTGGGGATGGCGATCAAGCCCTGAATAGGGATGGTAGCAACCCATTGAAATGCAAAGTCATGGCTGTGTGGCCCACAAAAAGAGTTTGCACAATGGTACAGATGACTCCAGTAGCTTAAGAGAGAAAGACAAAGGCCTACGTGTTGAATGCAGGGTCTGCCTAATGAAGGGACTCCCTTAAAGAGGGTTCTATACTTTTGAAGGGTCACTGAAATTCCCTATCCTAGAGGGTCATGGAGTTTTGACTTGGGGGCGGTTCCAGAGGCATTTCTATGATGCAGCTGGGAAAGTCGCCCAAGGAATGCAGATTCAGGCTTCCGCTCTTGTGGGGAGGAGGGACAACCCAATTTTCCCAAGTTTCTTTGGGAACCAAGTCATCTTGCCCGGGGCTATCTTGATCGAACCCCCGAGGACGCCCATACCCCCGGGTTCATTTTAACAGAGATGGACCAATTCCTGGGTTTAAGTTTTCTGTGCTCAAGGGGTGTCCTGTGCTGATTGTGCGCACAGAATCAAGCTGGGTATTGAAAAGGTGTCTACCCAAAGCCCTCATACAGAGTTAAAAGGGCCTTCATCCACCCTGGCTTTGATTTTGGCCTCACTGGGGGCTGGAGTCCTTGGGAGTGAATGCAGCCTGCTTCACAAAAGATTTGAGGAGAATTGGGGCCTATGACAAGATCTTGTGCTTTCTTCTCCCCTCCCCTTCCCAGCAATTGGACGGCAACTAGACGGGTTTCTAAGTAGCACGAACAATGCAGCAGAGGATCTCTAGGCTCCGCGTTGCAAAAGCCCAACACTGTCTTAGAACGCTGCCAAGACAAATGGATTATATAGCCGCGATATCGAAAAATGTGACGCCTTGTGGGGTGGTTGTTTGGTAGTGGAGACCATTTTTTCCAGTGTTCTGCGCGAGTTGCCTGGCCATCCACAGCGCAACTTGAGGGTTGTTGCCAAGTTTGTCACAATCAATCCGTGGGACTCAAAAGGGACAGCAACAGAAGCAGTGTTTGAAACTCCCCTGTTTGTAAGTGGGAACCAACCAACTTTATTTGTGTTGGAGTGGTCGACCAACAGTTTAAATTAATCAACCAGTGGGTTTTGGCGCACAGGTGGGCAACTTCTCGCACTACCTCGAGCAAGGCCTGGCCAGTCTTCACTCCGCGGAGCTGAGCTTTTTGGTATAACTTTTCAACTTTTTTGCCGTGGTTTTGCTCTATGTCCTTGCAACGGTTGCTCGGCTTTTATGCTTTTTCCTCAACAACGACCCAACAACTATACGTGGTTCCCTCCCATACATTCGAAAGTAGCCGGTTGCCTTGAAGGGGAGACTGTGAAGCTGGCAGACAACCTGTACCCACACAGTCCGGCATCAATGCTGAGCCAACAGCTTCACCCAACACAAGTTCCTGAGCTTCAGGGAGCGTAGGAAAGGTAGCTGGCAGCGTATCTTGCAGGTCTGTCATGTCTCTCTTGAGCTTTTGGCTTGTTCCGCATTGGCGAATAATGAGCAGGTATTTGTGTGTGTGTGAGAAAGCACTTGCTCATCCCGTGATTTATTTATTGTAGATGTTTCAATTGCAATATTCAGGACCTCAACCGCAGATCTCTTTGTTACATCTTTGTCGATCTCGAACGTAAGCTGCGGGCGAAGGGATGTTTTCCCGGTTGTCCTTGCTCGAACCAGTTGTGATAGTTTGGTTGGGGTCATCGGAGTGGATGCAGCGCCAGCCGAGCCTTTCTCGCGTCTGGGAGACCTGGCCCACCTGATTCTTGACCACACTGACCCCCCACCGAAATGGTTTTCTTCGGTTGAGTTTGGTCTTCCAGTATGGCGAGTCGTCCCCGCACGATTGGTTGCGGGCGAAAGTACCCTCTTGTCATAGATGCTGGGAGGTTCAAACCCAAGGCTGCCACCCCCCGAGACTACCAGCCTTTTTGATCCATTGTACTCGTTCCGTGTCTTAGAATTAGATCCGGCACATCCATGTTGGATTGAACTCCAACGTTTCTCCGCATTGTTTGACGCCATAGCAGAATGGGTGGGTGGGTGGGTGGGTGGGTGGGTGGGTGGGTGGGTGGGTGGGTGGGTGGGCAACCCCACAGGGTTTTGTCCTTGATGCGGCCGCAAAATGCCTTTCCGGATGCTACGGCTCTACTTGTTCTGGCTCTCAATCTCTGTTCTTCTCTCTACTTGTTCTGACCCGAAGCATGAACATCTCAGCGGCTGCTTCCGGGCGAAATGCGCCTCCAAAACGTGATTCTAGTTTCCCCTTGTCAACCAACAAATGCCAAACTTGTCAATCAAGAAGGGATTCAGCCAAACTTCCGCCCAGAAAACTTGGCACTGGAAGGCCTACGCCCTGGTGGAAGTGTGGGTACGCTTGGCGCCTGGAGACTTTTTGTTTTTTGTGGAGATGCTTCGAGGTGCTTGGGTTGTGGAAAGGTGTCTAGGAAAGCTCGTCCAGATGGGCTTGGATGAGAAAGCTACGAATGCCCAAGGTGAACCAGATTGGTAGTATCGCAGAGTCCATTTCGGCTTGGAAGCTTTGCCGAGACAACAAATGGAGTGTTTTTGTGTTTTGTGTCACACCTCTCTGGCGAAACAGAGGACAAATTCATTGTGGTTCCTGTCGGACTGTGCTGGACACTTGATGACTGGCGCGCAACGCAGAAGCGAGCACCTTGCCCTTGTTTCAGGACCCCATGGGAAACGCCTGGCAGAAAGGCGGCTGATGGGCTCTGGACATTGCGCAATACTGTACATTGTTACCCTTTGCTTGCAGCACGAGACAATGCAGCAGGACTTGGAGAATCTATGCTTTGCCGACTTGCTGACCATACTTTGAGGCAAAAACAGACAAGCTATTCTAAGACAACGGCACAGATCCCTTTTGCTACACAAGTTTTCAGCTTGAAAAACCAAATGCTTGAGACACCCTTAGGACTGAGAGAAACACCGATGCCCTGGTTGTGGCATCAACAGGAGCAGTGCTTTGTTGGGACTCCTTCAAAGTCCGGAACGCAGTGGCTCTGATAACTACACGAAGAGCTGTGCATTGAAGAGTAGATTTGATCTTGGTTGCCATCTGTGACAGCTTGTCGCAGATTGCATTGTTGGGTGACGTGAAAAGACCCAGGCAGTATCTCAGTGTCTCTTTTTTCTGTGTGAGCAAAGCAGCAGCGGGAGACTCAAACTGAGGTGGATTTGAGAGGCGCATTGCAGAAAAGCCAGCACTGATGCAAGTATGTTTGCTAATGTGTTCACTGGCATGAAGGAGTATAGGTGTGAGCGTTGGCAAGTGGTTGGCGGGTGATTGGATGGGTCATGGTGGTCACTAGGTGCTGGATGTTGCCACAGCTATGATGCAGATCTGAAACATTGCGCAGTGGCTCTGAGCACTGCATGAGCAGTGCGTGAAGAGATATGGATTGAAGAATGATTCTGAGCTTTGCATGTGGGATACCCTCGCTGCGTGCAGTGTGTGTGTGTGTGTGTGTGAGTGCTTTTTGTTTGTTCTTTTCTGTGGCAACCTGTTCTGTATCATAGTGGATGTGAGAAAAGATGAGTCACTGGCGTGGAAGAGTATAAGAGTGAGCGTTGGCAAGTGGTCGGCGTGTGCCACAGCTGTGATGCAGATCTGAAACATTGCGCAGTGGCTCTGAGCACTGCATGAGCAGTGCATGAAGATATATATATATATATTGAAGAATTATTCTGAGTTGTGCATCTAGCATGGCGTTGTTCCGTGCAGTGTTTTGGTTTGTGCTGTTGCAACCTGTTCTGTGTCACAGCGGCTGGGACAAGGCCCAGTATCATCAAAGTTAGGACGCATTGAGGGCACACTTAAAAGTCACTTAGCAGAAATGCAGGCACTGATGCAAGTATGTTTGCTAATTGAAGAACAACTGTGTGACATGAGATTGATGACACTGTTCACTGGCATGAAGGAGTATAGGTGTGAGCGTTGGCAAGTGGTCGGCGTGTGATTGGATGGGTCATGGTGGTCACTGGGTGTTGGATGTTGCCACAGCTATGATGCAGATCTGAAACATTGCGCAGTGGCTCTGAGCACTGCATGAGCAGTGCGTGAAGAGATACAGATTGAAGAATGATTCTGAGCTTTGCATTTGGGATACCCTCGCTGCGTGCAGTGTGTGTGTGTGTGTATGCGCGTGTGTGAGTGCTTTGTGTTTGTTCTTTTCTGTGGCAACCTGTTCTGTATCATAGTGGATGTGAAGAGGCCTAGAAGTATGATCCAAGTTGGTTAGAGAGAAGATGTGTCATTGGCGTGGAAGAGTATACAAGTGAGCGTTGGCAAGTGGTCGGCGTGTGCCACAGCTGTGATGCAGATCTGAAACATTGCGCAGTGGCTCTGAGCACTGCATGAGCAGTGCATGAAGAGATATAAATTGAAGAATGATTCTGAGTTGTGCATCTAGGATGGCGTTGTTCCGCGCAGTGTTTTCGTGTGTGCTGTTGCAACCTGTTCTGTGTCACAGCGGCTGGGACAAGGCCCAGTAGTATCATCAAAGTTAGGACGAATTGAGAGCACACTTAAAAGTGACTTAGCAGAAACGCAGGCACTGATGCAAGTATGTTTGCCAATTGAAGAACAATTGTGTCGCATGAGATTGATGTCACTGTTCAATGGCATGAAGGAGCATAGGTGTGAGTGTTGGCAAGTGGTCGGCGTGTGATTGGATGGGTCATGGTGGTCACTCGGTGCTGGATGTTGCCACAGCTATGACGCAGATCTGAAACATTGCGCAGTGGCTCTGAGCACTGCATGAGCAGTGCATGAAGAGATATAAATTCAAGAATGATTCTGAGTTGTGCATCTAGGATGGGGTTGGTCCGTGCAGTGTTTCGGTTTGTGCTGTTGCAACCTGTTCCGTGTCACAGCGGCTGGGACAAGGCCCAGTATCATCGAAGTCAGGACGAATTGAGGGCACACTTAAAAGTCACTTAGCAGAAATGCAGGCACTGATGCAAGTATGTTTGCTAATTGAAGAACAATTGTTTCGCATGAGATTGATGGCACTGTTCACTGGCATGAAGGAGTATAGGTCTGAGCGTTGGCAAGTGGTCGGCGTGTGATTGGAAAGGTCATGGTGGTCACTGGGTGCTGGATGTTGCCACAGCTATGATGCAGATCTGAAACATTGCGCAGTGGCTCTGAGCACTGCATGAGCAGTGCGTGAAGAGATATAAATTGAAGAATGATTCTGAGCTTTGCATTTGGATACCCTTGCTGCGTGCAGTGTGTGTGTGTGTGAGTGCTTTTTGCTTGTCCTTGTCTGTGGCAACCTGTTTTGTATCATAGTGGATGTGAAGAGGCCTAGTAGTATGATCAAAGTTGGTTGGAGAAAAGATGTGTCACTGGCGTAGAAGAGTATAGGAGTGAGCGTTGGCAAGTGGTCGGCGGGTGATTGGATGGGTCATGGTGGGCACTAGGTGCTGGATGTTGCCACAGCTGTGATGCAGATCTGAAACATTGCGCAGTGGCTCTGAGCACTGCTCAGGCTGGGACAAGGCCCAGTAGTATCATCAAAGTTAGGACGCATTGAGGGCACACTTGAAAGTTTCTTAGCAGAAATGCAGGCACTGATGCAAGTATTTTTGCTAATTGAAGAACAATTGTTTCGCATGAGATTGATGGCACTGTTCACTGGCATGAAGGAGTATAGGTGTGAGCGTTGGCAAGTGGTCGGCGTGTGATTGGATGGGTCATGGTGGTCACTGGGTGCTGGATGTTGCCACAGCTATGATGCAGATCTGAAACATTGCGCAGTGGCTCTGAGCACTGCATGAGCAGTGCGTGAAGAGATACAGATTGAAGAATGATTCTGAGCTTTGCATTTGGGATACCCTCGCTGCGTGCAGTGTGTGTGTGTGTGAGTGCTTTTTGCTTGTTCTTTTCTGTGGCAACCTGTTCTGTATCATAGTGGATGTGAAGAGGCCTAGTAGTATGATCAAAGTTGGTTGGAGAAAAGATGAGTCACTGGCGTAGAAGAGTATAGGAGTGAGCGTTGGCAAGTGGTCGGCGGGTGATTGGATGGGTCATGGTGGGCACTAGGTGCTGGATGTTGCCACAGCTGTGATGCAGATCTGAAACATTGCGCAGTGGCTCTGAGCACTGCTCATGTGCTCATGCAGTGCATGAAGAGATATAAATTGAAGAATGATTCTGAGTTGTGCATCTAGCATGGCGTTGTTCCGTGCAGTGTTTCGGTTTGTGCTGTTGCAACCTGTTCCGTGTCACAGCGGCTGGGACAAGGCCCAGTAGTATCATCAAAGTTAGGACGCATTGAGGGCACACTTGAAAGTCACTTAGCAGAAATGCAGGCACTGATGCAAGTATTTTTGCTAATTGAAGAACAATTGTTTCGCATGAGATTGATGGCACTGTTCACTGGCATGAAGGAGTATAGGTCTGAGCGTTGGCAAGTGGTCGGCGTGTGATTGGATGGGTCATGGTGGTCACTGGGTGCTGGATGTTGCCACAGCTATGATGCAGATCTGAAACATTGCGCAGTGGCTCTGAGCACTGCATGAGCAGTGCGTGAAGAGATACAGATTGAAGAATGATTCTGAGCTTTGCATTTGGGATACCCTCGCTGCGTGCAGTGTGTGTGTGTGTGTGTGTGTGTGTGTGTGAGTGCTTTTTGTTTGTTCTTTTCTGTGGCAACCTGTTCTGTATCATAGTGGATGTGAAGAGGCCTAGTAGTATGATCAAAGTTGGTTAGAGAAAAGATGAGTCACTGGCGTAGAAGAGTATAGGAGTGAGCGTTGGCAAGTGGTCGGCGGGTGATTGGATGGGTCATGGTGGGCACTAGGTGCTGGATGTTGCCACAGCTGTGATGCAGATCTGAAACATTGCGCAGTGGCTCTGAGCACTGCTCATGTGCTCATGCAGTCCATGAAGAGATATAAATTGAAGAATGATTCTGAGTTGTGCATCTAGCATGGCGTTGTTCCGTGCAGTGTTTTGGTTTGTGCTGTTGCAACCTGTTCTGTGTCACAGCGGCTGGGACAAGGCCCAGTAGTATCATCGAAAGAATTGAGGGTACACAGAGCAGAAATGCAGGCACTGATGCAAGTATGTTTGCTGAAGCAAACCTGTGTCGCATGAGATTGATGGCACTGTTCACTGGCATGAAGGAGTATGGGAGTGAGCGTTGGCAAGTGGTCGGCGGGTGATTGGATGGGTCATGGTGGGCACTAGGTGCTGGATGTTGCCACAGCTGTGATGCAGATCTGAAACATTGCGCAGTGGCTCTGAGCACTGCATGAGCAGTGCATGAAGAGATATAGATTGATTAATGATTCTGAGCTTTGCAGCTAGGACCGCCTTGCTTGCGTGCAGTGTTTTTTCTCGAACGCGCAGCAGCAGGGTTCGCGTTGTAGAAACAAAGGGGTCTGTGGGAATGTGTGTTCGCCAGATGCGTCGCTGAGTCTGCAAGCGTCCGCAAGCGTTAGCAAACGGCCGCAGGTGGCAAACGTTGGCGTGCCGTTTTTGCAACATGTTGTTTTCGTTGCGCCCGCGCGCAAGTCGTAGCTTTTGCAACGTTACGTCTTGTTTCTTAGCGCAGGCGCAGTGTTTTGTCAGGTTGCGTGTTATTGCGTCGCCATGCCATTGTGATTCGCCTCACCGGGGTTGTTTGAACGTCACTTGCTTGGAAGGCGCATGCAAGGCTTTGCGCGGGGTGCCGTTTTGTTGGCCCTGTCGTGCAATCCGCTCCTTTTGGCGCAGAAAGCTTGTCAACATCGGTTGAACTCATTCTGGCATTGCAGTCCTGTGCCAGTTTTGACACGCATCACAAACGTGTCTTCGTTGGATCTCGTGATAGGCGCAGTGATGGGAGCGCTTGTTTCTTCGTCTGAAGCTGACTTTGCGTGACAGGCAAAGGATTTTGGGGCGCTGTAATCAAATTTCGTGGCAGGCGCAACGCTTTGAGTGGTCGCACCACGCAGCCACGGCGCTCTGGAGTGTCATGAAGGGTAGACAGGCGGCAAGCGTGTAGGCCAAGGGTGGGCTTCTGTTGAAGTTTCTTGGTGGTTCAAGCATTGCTGATCTCCATAGATGTGTGTTGTATTCAATATCTTTGGCACGCTGTTAAGAAAGCTGTTGGGGCAGCTGCAATGCCTGCAATCCATGCCAACCTTGACTTGGCTGGAGTTCTGGCCAAGTGCGGAAATAGTTTTGCTGCAATGATTCACTTGCAGCAACCGCTCGCCGGGCTCTTGTGAACACCCTTTTGCTGGCAATTTTAGATTGAGTTTCCTCTTGGCCCGCCTTTTGGGCACTCTGATTTGGCTCCAGCATGGCGTGGCACACACTAATTGCTGCAACTGCCAGGATTGTCGTCTCTGTTGAATCCACCTTGTTCGTTCGGGGTATTGGACTCCTCAGTCCCGTCAATGCCCAATACTAAGGTTGGAGCTGGGCTTTCCAGATTCGGAGTGGTTCAAGAAACTGGCTCCTTGACGGCTTTTGGTACCCATTTGCTTCTTGGAGGTTGGCATGCTTATGAAATATTGTTTGAAAGTGAGCTCATGTAGTCATTGTTGGATGGGAGTCAACGGAAAAGCGGAAAGGGGCTAAGGGTGGGATGGTACAGTTGCAATCACGAGGCTGGGCGGCTCCTTTGCCGGGGTTGAGCCAGACAGCCTGCTGGGCTTGATGGAATGCCTGCCCGGCCCCCGTTTTCGGGAAAGAGAGGAGAAGGAAGGATGCTATCGGACCTTTCAAAGAGCTTCATGTTGGTTCTTTCACCGTCCAACAGAGTTTCATGTCGATCCTTTCACCATTCAACGATTTTCAGGTTGGTTCTTTTGCCATTGACCAACACCATGTTGGGTTTTCACCATTCAGAAAGGTTTTTGTTGCTCTTCCGCCATTCAAAAGAGTGTCATGTTGGCTATTTAACAAGTTTCACGCCGCTTCTTCCGCCATTCAAAAGAGTCTGATGTGACCTCTTTCTCGTTCGAACGAGTTTCATGTTGGTTCTTTCGTCGCTCAACAGAGTTTCTGATCGGCTCTTTCAGCATTCAACGTAATTTCATGCTGGTTCTTTTGTAATTCAATATGGTTTCATGTTGTTTGCTTCCCCATTCAACAGAGTTTAATGTTGGTCCTTTCAGTATTCAAACAATTTTACGTCGGTTATTTCCCCATTCGAGAGAGTTTTGTGTTGGTTCTTTCGCCATGCAGCAGAGTTTATGTCGGACCTTTCGGCTTGATGTTGGTCTTGTTGTTGCCATTTAATGACTCTTTTCAGCATTCAGCATAGTTTCATGTTGTTTGTCTTGCCATTTAGCACAGGTTGATGTTGGCGCTGTTCTCGTGCCATTCTGATCCCTGGCTCCCTGGAGCCACTTGAGGTGTGTGGTGTGCAACGCCCCACTTAGCTCCAGGAAGCAGGAGGAGCGATCCGAGGTGTAGTTCGCTTAGGGTCATAGGTTGCTACGAAATTTGGGTGAGAGACCCTCAGTTTCACGATGGGCTTGTATTCCGTGGTCGCGTCTTGACATATCAGTTGAAATAGTTTGATTCGACTGCTTTCAGTTTGTTTCCCGGCTTTGGGGGGAACTCGCAAAAGGTCCGCGAACGCACTCGTGTGATACATAGTGTGCCGTGAAGGCTCGCCAAGCCTCTCGCGAAGGCCCCGCGGTCCAACACAGGCGAAGCCACTTCGCGAAGCCTAGAGGTAATTGGCTAGCAGCACGTCCGCGAAGCCACTCCGCGAAGCCACTCCGCGAAGCCACCATCTTGTAGCGAAGCCTCGCGAAGGCAACCCTTCCGCAGATTCTGGCCCCGCGATCCCAGCGTAGGCTCCCCAGTGTATAAGTCTGCCCCCCTAAATCAACTAGCGGCAACTAGCGGTTTACTGACCCTTTCTGAATCCTGGGTTGCGAGGAGCTGCTGGCCGCAACCCTGTGGCTTCTGCAGGCTGTCTGGGCCGGGAGCCGGAAGGGATGTCAATGGGATTTGCAGCTCAATGGGTGTTATGATGATCCTTGTGGGCTGGAAACCCTGTTCTTTTTGACTCCCAGCATCTTTTTATAAGATAAACCGAAAGGTAAAAAGCAGGTCAAAAGAAGGTTCGGAATCGAACAAAGCAGGGCCCCTCATGAGGGTTGTGGCCTTAACCCAGGAACTGTTGACCAGATTTTACCTGCAACTCTCATGCTCCTCAGGCCTTGGGCCCAACATAGCCCCCAAAAACGCGTGACCCTGCCATTTCTTCTATCCTTTTTACCCCTTCGCATGTCATTTTGAGTTAGAAAAGCTGAGGTCCACCTGCCGTCATGCCAACTGCCTTTTTTCCCTTTTTGCGCTCTGCCTCCCACAACATGTGACCTGCCACGCTTCCTGCACAATTTGCAACGAGCTCACCTAGAGGTGCCAGCTCAACCTTGAAGGTCCCTAGTTGGGACTCCTATGATTGATCCCAGGTGATGCCTCTACCTCCTCCCTTTTAAAAGAATCCCGAGAGTCTTTTAGTTGGCGTCCCCGAGGCTCCCAGAGTTCGACAGGACCCGAAGGCGCTGCTAGCGCGCCTCTCCGGCCTGCCGCCGGCGCCGAGCCTGCAGACCCGCAGGCACCGAAAAAATGGAACTGGGATTCTCTTTTAAAACATCCGAATAGGGGTACCCTGAAAAAACACACCCGAAGCAACAACACCTGTGAAGATCGCCCCTTGTTGTGTCCCATCCCCGAAATTGGCAAGTCAACCAACCATCGGCCCTGGTAAGTTGCACGGTGAATGTTTCCCTCTAACGGAGTTGAACCCAATCAGAGTTTCTCTTCTTTTTTTTTGAGGTACCCCTTTCCGGGTCCGTTTTGCTCGCCTGCCTCCGGCAAACTGGCAAACTGGGCTGGCACAACACCTTTCGTGAAAGAAGCCAGCAGGCCAACCGGCCTCAACAAGCCCAGGGAAAAAGCCTCCCGGGACTTGAACCACACTACCCGTGCCGCTGAACCGAAATGGCACCGGAATGGCACCGGAAAAGTCCAAGGTGTCCGAAGCCAAAGTCCAAGCAATAGAGAAGCCAACTCCCAGAGAGAAGTGCAACGCCCATCTCCATGCCACTCGCCAGGGCCTCAAACACATGCCAACCCATTTTTGGGACCGTAATCCTGGCGAGCAGGGACCCGCCGTTGTGGCGAGTCGTTCGCTTTCCAGTTTCAATCATTGCACAAATCTCAACAGGATGTTACTTCTGAGACAAACTCGCATATTTTTGCAAACGTGGGATCGATTGGAGTTTGCCAGGCTGGCTCCCTACCTGCTCAGCTGCGAGGGCAGCTGGCGAGGGCATCTTACGGAGGCCGACAGAAACAGGGACAGGGTAAAGTATGAGCAGGAAACAGAGTGGCCGGTGACCTTGGGTGTGGTGAAATGGTTTTCAGTTTGAAATTAGACCTCCGGTTTTGGTGTGTGTACTGTACAACTGATTTAGGGGCGTTTTCTTTACTTGAAGGGTCCCCAGGCCTTTGCAAATGTAACATGTGACAAGATTCGCTCTTTGGCACTTGCGAGATAATTCTTGTCCTCCCGCGTTATTTTGTGGCCCAGCGCTTCAAGTCTGAGCCATCGCAAATGATTGGCCTGCCCGCAATGGCAGCACAAGACTGCGGCTGACTCTAGTAGATCATGAACTGCTCTGTACCTCCGATAAATGTGGACAGGCTGGGCAGTGCTACGAAGCTCTGCGTTCCTGGCTGCCGGAGTCCCAGTGCTGGCTGTTCGCATTTGAAAGGGTCAAGGAGAGCAGAACCTCCCGTTCGTGGTTGTGACAAATTGAGGGGTTTGTCACTGCCACTTTTTGTGCTTAGCAATTTGCCCTGCGTTTGTCAGGTCCTGCTACTATCAGTTCTCCCTGGTGAGCGACCAGATGGAGGCGGTTTGGAGCAGATGTGGCTTCCAATTTGGACTCATGTTCTCTCCACGAATGCAGGGCCCTGTCTCATGGGCACCTATGTGAATGTTTCCGAACATTGGGCGACCACTTTTGGTTGGTGAAGGAACCAGCCAGGTTTAGGGTGTCCCCAGTTTTCGAGACACGCCCATATTTGCGTCAGTATGTTCGGATGGCATGGCTGCACAGAGCGTGAGTGAACGGGGAGGTCCGATGATCTGAATGCTGGTTGGAAGAAATGGGGACTCCCCTTTGAAGGGTGTGGTGTTGAAGGGGAAGCCAAACAAAGCTGCCGTTTTCATGGTCCGTTTCATGTCCCGTTTCATGTCCCCTTATTAAAACACCATTTTCTTGCAATCGCAGGAGCACAGTGTCAGGCATTTATGAGTGTCAAGGCCGTCACCAAAAGAAACGTCCATGAGTCAGTTGCGACCCCTGTTGAACGCTTGTTCTCGAGCTGTGTAGGATCCAGCAAGCCCTGGAAGAGGATGCAGCCGAGAAATTCACTCAGTACAAACCAATTAATCATGCAAATCTTCAAAGGTCAAACCGGGGACTTTCTTTTACTTTTTCAGAACACGATTTTTCTATTTTCCATGGAAACATGGGGAGCAATAGTCTTCCTTTCGTGGGAGTTCAGCATTGGGATGGCCCAGCACAGGGTTTCGCCTCACTTGTCCCTCGCTCTAACTTTCCACGTGAAGCGGAAGGGCTTGGGGCTGCGCTCGACAAGGCCAACGCAGCGCAGCTCCGACGGCAGGAGATCCGAGTTCCGAGCTGTGAGCTGTCGTTGCCATGACCCAACGTGGAACCAGCCCCTGAGCGACAGGAGCAGCTTCTGACCGAGCTCAGCAAGGAGGATGGGGCAGGCCAGTTCGGATGCGGCGATGATGTACGCAGTGAAATGCGGAAGAATACACGACTGCTTGACTTGATCATACGCACACACACACACACACACACACACACACACACACACACACACACACACACACA